TCTAGACATAACATTTGGATGGTCACTGCTTTGCATACGGGCGCATCGTAGGTGATGCTAACTCAGCAAAATTGCTACACCGCTAGCAGGATTGTTTTATAACTTCAGGGGCCTGTTCTTCAACTTAAAAATTACAGTCACCTGTCTCCACCGGTTATTGCTCCATCGACTGCGACACATAGTTGCTCTTACTTGTCTCTCATGCCCGCTTTCAAATGTCGCGTCAGACCTGATCGTTATGACTCCAGCTTACAGTTGTTAATAAACGGCACACCCTCCGAAGACTGGATGCTTCGCACAATATGACTCACTGTGTTAGCCGGCTGTGCGCCTGCTTGAGGTGTTCCTGTTGTTTCTTACTAGTGCATTTTTGAAGCATGTGAGCGCCCTCAGACGAGCGATATCTACTCTTGACTGCTAACTACTCTGTTTATTCAAACTCAAATAGAGATTGAGGCTTGTCAAATATGTTTTGTTGCCTCAAGGATTGATAGCCGAGCAACTTGCGTTCTATCACCACAAAGTTTATAGTCTAATCAAGATTCCATTGTCAAATGAACGCTAAGTGTATTCATGTGCACGTACACCTCGCGCAAAAAATATTCGACTCTTGAACTTCGTGTAAACTTACGCGCAAAAGATGGGTAAGTACGCTTCAGAAACGTAAAACTCTCAAGTAGCAAGAAACCAGGCGTACTAATTATCTCGCGAGTGACGTTTATTCAGAATTAAGGTATGCTACCGTATATAAAAGATATAGATTTACTTTTCACAAGCATAGCTGATGCCACATATCACATGCTTCGCGGGCCACTTTTTATGCCGTCCATACCAGCAATAGTCATGATACTTTATCATACTGCGAGCTGTACGTACACCATAATGCATTATGAATCTCGTTACAAGATCAACCGATAATTTGGAAAAGGTCTCTTCAGGTCTCCACAGCTTCTAAACCGGCCGAGCGGATTGGTTGGATGAAAGTGTCCCACAGTTACGATTGTGATCTCAATTTTTTACGTAAAAATCATGAGCGAGTCAGAGCTAAAAAACAACACTTTGAATTATTAATATTCTTGAAAGGTCCCTGCATATATCCTGCATATATCCAAATGTTAACATGGTTCTTTTTTCAGCTTTGATTTTGTGCATATGATGAACACATCAACAATCAATTCTACGACTTCAAAAGGACAGAGAACTTCGTGAGTGTCTTTCTGGCTGATAGTCAGTATAAAATGGCTTATCTTCTAGCTAAAACCAAACATCCTGGGCACCCAAAAGCAAACAGCAGATGAATAGAATTATATGTACAAATAACGACAACAGCAAAATATTAATACAAATCTGAGTAAGATGAATACCACGTTTAACT